TGATTCTGAGGATTGAACTTAGGACCTTTCACATCAAAGTGAGAATCATACAACTAGACCAAACTCAGGTTGATGTAACTTTGTAGAAGCAACCATCTTCAAATTCGATTGCCTCTTTTCTTTTGTATTCTTTTGCGGTAAATTTATATCATTAGGCTTAAAGACAGGTTTATGACCATGTTCAGTTTTAAAGAAGTTTATTATCACTTTAAGAAGATTTAGGCCATGTTTGCGTGTTGACTTAGACGTGATCTCTTAAACTCAATTACTTGAGAACAATTTTTTCACATAATAAATTTCAGCTAGGATCAAAACATATCTTTTCAAAAAGTCAATGGGGCATTCCGAGAATCGAACTCGGGACCTCTCGCACCCAAAGCGAGAATCATACCACTAGACCAAATGCCCAGCTGTTGATGTAATTCATTGGAGCAACTGTTTTTGAAATGCAATTACTGTTATCTCTTGTGTGTTTGCTGAACTATGTTAACTTAGATATTATCCATTTTTTGTTCATTTGCTACAGATCCTTCTTGAAAACATAGGTAGCTCCCGTTTTGCAAGAAGTGTTTTTTTTTTTTTGTGAAAACCCCAACCATCTGACCTGAACGTTAAGGTACGTTGTGATGATGTTTCTAATTTACTGCTGGTGAAATTCTTGGAACTGGTTAAATGTTTAGTTGAACATGATCTTTGAATATCATGCACCTAAGGTTGACCTTTTAATAACAAAATTAATTGGCATACCGTTACATACACGTTTGAAAAAGTCAATGGGGGCATTCCGAGAATCGAACTCGGGACCTCTCGCACCCAAAGCGAGAATCATACCACTAGACCAAATGCCCTTTGTTGATGTAATTCAGTTTAAACACTGAAGCCAATGGTGCTGCCTTTGGATCTGTTATCTTAATGCCAAATGCCTGTCATTGATCTAACTCGTTTTCAAGCATTTTCATCGCTGAAAGAATATGTGAGACCTTCTAGTATTTGCAAATATATTTCATTCTTGTGAATATGCAACATGCTAATAAGCCTTATATCATTTTTGGTGAATCTGACTACATGTGATTATTGTACGTATTCTAAGTTTGACGCTTTGTGATATCCTGTGGTAGAAAATTTAGCTACTTCCTTTATTGGTTAAGAAAATATAAAAACTTTTTCTTTGACTGTGTTTCCAAGCTACTCTTAGTGAATTTTAAGTGAAATGCATGTTTTGGTCATGAACTGTGAGAAATCAGGCGGCAAAGATTTACCTTAACTATCTACTTGTATACTGAACACATTCATTCAAAATATCAATGGGGCATTCTGATTTCTGGGGCGTTCTGATTTCTAAGAACTGGCCTGGGGACCTCTCGCAAGCTAAGTGAGAATCATACCACTAGACCAAATGCTTCATTGTTGATATAATTCATTTAAAGTACCCAGTTTTGATATTCTATTGCCAGTATCTATACTCTTTAGTTTGTTTGTTTCTGAACTTTGTTAACTTAGGCATTATCTTTTATTTCATTTCCTGCAGCTCGTTCTTGCCTTCTTGGAGAATCTGGCAGCATAGCGCTTTGCCGTGGTGAATTGTGTCTGATATTATCTGGTTGGAAATCTCAATCATATGACCTGAAAGCAAAGGTATGAAAGCAAATCTCTCTCTCTCAATTATCTGATTGGAAATCAATATACTGCTGGTGAAATTCTAGGGGCTGGTCAACTGTTGTGTGTAGAACATGATCTTTAAAAATCTAGCACCATAGGAAAAAATTGTCAGTAACAAAATTTAGTTGGCATGCCAAACATACACTGTTTAAAAAGTCAACGGGGCATTCCGAGAACCGAACTCGGGACCTCTCGCACCCTAAGCGAGAATCATACCACTAGACCAAATGCCCTGTTTGTAATGTAATTCAGTTCAAACACTGAAGCCAATGGTGTTGCAGAACCATTTCTGATTGATTTGCTTATAGGAATCTAGTTGATCTGATGAAAAGGATACAATTTGGTTCTTATTTTCCTAATTGACTTTTAGCACATAATTTACATTGAATGCCGTATGATACATCTCTGAGATCTGATGCAAAACTTAGTCGGCATACCAAACCAAACTTACACTGCTGCAAAAGTCAATGGGGCATTCCGAGAATCGAACTCGGGACCTCTCGCACCCAAAGCGAGAATCATACCACTAGACCAAATGCCCTATTGTTTGGTGTATTCATTTGTAGCAACTGATCTTGATATTCAATTGCCCTTATCTTTTTTGTGTGTTTACTGAACTTTATTAACTTGGGCAATATACTTTTTGTCTGTTTCCTGTGGCTTGTTCCCCTGCAGCTCATTCTCGGAGAATCTGACCGCATTTGCGTTGTAGCAGTGAGGGGTGGCTGATGTTATGTGGGTGTGGAATGGTTCAAGAAGAGTTTACTTTTGTGCAAATCTGAATCATCTGACCTGAAAGTAAAGGTGTGTTAAAACCATATCTCGTGCAACTCTATATATAGTAGAAAGAGAAAATGCCTAATGAGCCTATAAACGGCAGTAGAGGTGGAGTCTTTGAGCCTCCTAACGCTTGAATCAGTATGTTGCACTGCTTTTTGTAATTTACAAATTCAAGGGACTAGTAAATTTTTTAGTTGAACATGATCTTTGAAAATATGACACCATAAGAAAGAATTGTCAGTAACAAAAATTTAGCTGGTACTCAGGACAAGATTGTTAAAAATGTTAATGGGGCATTCCGAGAATTGAACTCGGGACCTCTCGCACCCTAAGCGAGAATCATACCACTAGACCAAATGCCCAATTGTTGAGCAATTTAGTTACAAAAAAAAACTAAAGAAAACATGTGAAGTCAATCTTGAATCTAGTTCTCTTAGGTGCCTTATTGTTCAGTAGAATTTGATGCAACCCTGTCAAAAACAACTGCCTCTTCAAGTTCGATTACCTTTTTTCTTCTGTAAATGGCTTAATATAAGTTTCATCTTCGCGTTACAAAATATGATCCTCAACCAAAGACAAATTCAACTCATACTGGAACAAATATGAACGTAAAATCACTTTTTGTCATTTGCTTGTGTACTTTTTATTTCTCTTGACCCCGGAATCTTTAAAGACTACCAAATTCCTTGACAAGTCTTTCTAAATCTTCAAAAGAGCTTCCTTTGGCCTCTAACTTCCTCCGTATCTCCTCCGCCCGAGCACCCACTTCACGTCGACTCTCACCCATTGTTTCGTCTATGATCCGACCCAACTCATCCGGGTCCGGTACTGTTTCAGCTCCTTCGCAAACCCGAACCGCCACTCCCAAATCCTCCACCAGCAACCTCGCGTTCACAAACTGGTCTGCCTCCATTGGCCACCCTAACACCGTGACTCCACTCGTTATTGCTTCAAGCACCGAGTTCCATCCACAATGGCTCAAAAACCTGCCTACCGCTACATGTCTCAACACCGCACGCTGCGGGACCCACCCTTTAACAACCATTCCCCGACCCGATACCCGATCCTCGAATCCCTGGGGTAACGGGTCTTTCTTAACCACCCAAACAAACCGAGTCACGCTCTTCTCAAGTCCAAGGGCCAGAGCATCACACTGTTCTTTAGTCAACACCTTTTGACTTCCGAAGCAGATGTAAAGCACAGAACCATCTGGACATCCGTCGAGCCAACTCAGCAATGGACCGGATTCATCCGCACCACCCGGGTCCAACCCGATCGAACAAAGCGGGCCAACTCCAAAAACCCGATCATGACCTACCCTCTGTTTCACGTAATCCAAGTACTCTTTTTCTAAACACTCAGCCGTATTAAAAACGCAACCGTAGCTCAAAAAATTCATCAAGCTATCATCTTTAAAGCTTCTAATATCTGGTGAAGGAGATCCAAGGCAGCGTCGAACCACCGACGGAAGATGCTCTTCCTTGAAAACAGGGGAACCAGGAAGATCCAAGAAATGAACCGGATCCGTAGACTTGTCGATGTCGATATTTTTGAAGCAGAACTGAAGAACGGAAGCTAATAATGCACCGGAAGAGAAGAAAGCAAAGCGAGGAATACCGATTTGATTGCAAAGATCGTGTGTCCATCCAAGGAAGAAGTCAGAGATGAGAGCAACAGGAGGGTTTTGGTGAGAACGGAACCAGTGGATAATAGGGTCACGAAGCTGACGAAGAGAGGCTATGATTGGAAGACTACCGGAGTTACCGATATCTTTAACGTTTTCAACGCCGGGAGGGAGTGAAGGATGAGAAGGGAAAGGGAAAACGATGGGAGTTACGGCGGAGGAGGGATGAGCAGAGAGGAGAGGAGAGAGGTATTGGAGGTTTCCGGTGGTGACGAGGACGGAGACATCGACACCGTGAAGACAGAGTTGGTGAGTTAAGTCTAGAAGTGGAAGTAAGTGGCCTTGTGCTGGGAATGGAAACACCATGATGTGCAGTTTAGGAGTCTCCGGCACCATTGCTCTGTAAACAGTCTCTGTTCACTTTAGTTTTTTTATCTTCTTTATCTTTCTAACTTCTGTGGACACAATCTAATGGTTAGGAGGTGTATCAGTGTCTCTTTACTAATATTTAAATTGGAGCATTCCAAGTATCGAACTTGGGACCTCTTGCATTATCAAGATTCAAGACCAGCGTGCAAGTTTGAATAAGTCAGTTCTATAAATGAAGAAGTGTACAAAGTGTTGAATGTCGATCCCGAGAAGCAAGATAGAGAGAGTATGACTGTAAGATTGTCACTTTTCTTCTTCTTCTTACTACTATATACACGGAAGCTGCCTCTTAAGATCTTTGTCCACTTAGATGACTTTTCAGTAGTTTGGTCTTGAAAAAAGCATAGCAGAGTGACAGATCCGATCTGCTTCAATCAAATTTTTCATTGTTCATATGCATCAAATTATCTTCTAGAAGTTAAGAGTATGATCAATGACATGTTCATTAATTCTAGTTTGTGTTTCTTTGGACTTCAGCTAAAACCTCTCCAGATACATTGTCCTAATAGGTCTGAAATCAAATTCCGTGTAGACCAAAAGCTTAAGGTCCATGAAATCATCACTCACCTTACGGAACAAGCAGGAAAAAATTGGTTCACAACATACGACAGTTAAACCATTTAAGAGAGTAAATAAACAAACATCTTTTACATTTTTTAGGTTGTCCTACAACTTAAGCCTGTCCTCGCAAATTTAGTGATATATTTGAGTCACATAAACAATTAAGTGATTAACCAAGGATCCCGGCAAGAGTTTCAATAGTAATATCACAATGTTTGTATCTAGTCCCAAAGCTAGTATTAGAAAATAGTAACTTCAAACATTCTCATTACTCAACGCCCTCTAAATTCTAATCCCAATGCATTATAGTTTTTTTGTTTAATCCAAACAATATGAGAATATTGTAAGCCCTAGATATTAATTATGTCATTTGACATTTTTTTAATATACAATCTCAAACAAATAAACTTGAGAGAATGTTGTTAAGAATTCTATTTTGTTTTGGCTACTCTCATTCCTATAAGAGGATGTTTCTCGAAAACTAATCTCTCTTACTTAGAAAATTGGTATTTTGCACACAAATAAACAAGTTTATTCTAAAGTTCATTATACACGTGTGAGATCAATGATCACTGATTCTTAGGCTTTTCAAATACATTTCATTTACTCCCAATAGGATTAATAAACTAATTTGCCATTTCTCCATCTTCTGTCAACTTCTAATTAAGGTTAAATGTCATTGGTCAACTTCTTAAGAATAATATACTTTGAGTGTGTAATGCATTATAACTTTTGTATAAAACTTTGCAAATTTAAGAACATTGCGCGCTTAATTTCTCCTTAACCACATTAACCAAGTGTACGAAAAATACGTAAAATCCTATAAGTATAATATAGAATCGAGCCTGGTAAGCAAATTATCATAAAAATCACTACTTTAAAGTTTCATAGTATCAATGACATGGTCCATTTAATCATGGGAACATGACTGTTTATATATAAATATAAGGTAACCGCCGAGAACATCGTGATGGCCATCTCTGTGGTGTCCTCTACCATCCACCACCATCTATGTGACCGAGTGAAGGCGATATATGATATAGCCAGGCCAGGACGGCCCATGTTTCCTCCATGAGAAGGTAAAGACATTGCTGCTCAGTGAGACAATGTTGTCAATAGCAGCCAGAGCAGAGGATTCGTTGTTCAATCAAACTTGATCTTCCAACGGACCTGCTCGGCCTAGTTATGTAGGCCAACCCAAGTCGAAGGCTTGTCTCACATGGTATAATCATGCAAGCGTTTTGGAAATTCACAAATGTATATGGTTGCGATCAATTTAAACAATACATGGAAGAAGAAGTGGTTTCTCATTGTAACAACTTCTTTTGAGGATAAGCATCATGGTTTGAAGATAAGTTATACTACTCACAAACAATTACAGTGAGAGAATCACATTTTTTTAATTTCCTGAAATCTACGCACGGCTTAGCATGTACTTGGCGTTTCATTTTTTATAGGAACTAGATCAGTGTATGCGCTATTTAAACTATTATTTAAATTATATAGTATACTTTTAAATCAAGTCACATAAGTTCATTAATAAGAAATGATCATGATACAATAATAAACAAAGATAAGGATAACAAAACAAAAATGGAAATTGGAGAAATTGCATGTGAAGGGAAATTAGGTCATTGAAGAGAAGGCATGTTGGTGTATTTACTAATGTGAGCATTTAGTGAGACTGCAAAAAATGAGCGCAATTTTAGCTTACAAACTTACAACCTCTTTCCTATAACCCATTTCTCTTGCTCCCTCTTTATGTACCTTTCATTTAATGCATAGCTTGCACCATATAATATAATGATAGGCTATTGAATTATGTATATTCTTATAGATAAAGAAATGCGTTTATCTAGATATAAAAATTACTACGTATTAAACTCAATTCAGTAAAAGAAGTCTTTTTTGGTCGTGTATCTATTCTATATATAATATATGCTAATTGTATATCATAAATGATATATATATATATATATATATATATATATATATAAACCTAGAAAGCTAATATGAAATGTAATTAACTAACTATAGTTTCAAAAATGACGATTATATAAAGCAAACTTCAAATGTTGGGAAATACTCAATTGAGGTAATATCAGCTTTCAAGCTAGCTATCGTACAATTTATTGACATTTTTGGTTAGGGACAAATTGATTGTAGCATGAGAAGCAAAAGATTGAATCCAGAAGGAAGATGAAAACAAAAATAGAAAACTTTTAAAACTCCATCTTATTTAAAAAATCAACAAACACTTATCGCTTCAGTACCATTCGGTATGGATCACTCATCCATCACTCCACCATGCATCCCCCAAATAATTGCTTCTAACATAACATGTACGACATATATATATCTTTTAAATTAGCGTCAACAATATATATATATATATATATATATATATATATATATATATATGTCTCACAAGTTTGTTTATAAAGCAAAAAACATAAACATAAACCATTGTTAACTCAACATTAACAAGTATTTGTAAGATCTTTAAATTGTTGCATTCGAACTCTGACTATGGAGTTATTTAACATGTTTGATTCATATGATTCAAAGAAGATATATGCATGATGCATCTTGCGTTAATTTTTTTTTTTGTTTGAATCGACATCTTGCGTTAATTAAGTTGTAAATTTCTTGGGTATAAAAAAAATACCATTATTTTCCAAAATAAAAAGTTGGATGTACCTTGTTGAGCTTTTAAGGTTTTCATTCGCTTGTAGTGGTCCCAATATGTAAAACACATGTCAAATTGATTGCTGTTTGAACATCCCACTGAAATCTAGGGTTCTTCCATGACGCCAATATTATTTTTCTAATAAAACTGAAAGAAAATAAATTGTATACCTAAGCATACGTATAAATTTACCTCAACATATGAAGAATTCAGAGAGTGTGCCTCTGTTATAGATGAAAAGATGGGTAAAGTACAAATTCAATCCAATAGCCTTTAAAATGTTAGCTTTTAAAACTCATAAAACATTTTACCAATACCCATCTTTGTATAAGATCTCGTTAGTAAATTACTTGAAAATGTTCTAGTATATACATCGAATTGTTTATTGTTTGTTAAATAAAAAGAATTGTTTATTGTTTCATGAGAATAGAGGGGAAATATAGATATTTAAACGGTTGCATTGATCGCCATTTCCTGATTCATCAGCCGAAGTTAAGCTGCAAAGGCCCGAGCATCAAAACAGCTCAACATTAATTCTATTAATTTTTTAAATTCAAGAAAAAATAGTACCATATAATGAAAGTATTTCGCTTCAATATCCATCCATACAACTAAAATATCTTAATTTTTTACTTAAAAATAAGACCAAAATTTGTTTTGCTTTGGAATCTTTAATAATCTTGGACCAGTCCTTGGAACGAGAATTTGCTATGTTACTTACAGATTTATTTAACACCGTAGGATAACCGCTTGTGTTAAATGGAGATGCCACATATTGTTTTAATTTATCTGCATCCTATACCCAAAGTTATACTTAATTTATAAACTAAGACTGTTTAACATTGGCCCAAACAATTGTTAAATATTTGAAATAAAGCTCGCATTTAGTTTATCTTTCAAATAAATGCAGACGAAAAGATCTTATCATCTCAAAAGAAACTGAAGAAGTATTAATGCATTACTTAAGGGAACGATCATCAACAAAGACCCTTGAGTCAATCCAAAAAAAAAACGACCTTAATTTCGTTGCAATTACTATACAGCACCACCCATCCTGACCTCTTAAAAATTCGTATTTTTCCCTTCTTTTTCCGTACTATTACATCACAAAACTCCTAAAATCGTGTTTGGTAAATTGATTATGACTATTCCCACGTCCAAACAAACCATTTGCTCCCCATCCGAAGTTAAGGCCGAAGCCCCGAAGGTGACCGAGAGAATCCTTTTCTGCACAGACTGAAAATCCAGAACCTACATATATACTTCTTCCGTTTCATAATATAAGTCATTTTAGATGAAAGCACGCCGATTAAAAAGATTTACTTTTAAAAGTTCAACCAATCATAAAATAGACTGCATAATATAAATAATCATAAAATATTAAAGTAATATATAATTTGCATCGAAACTCGAAAACGACTTATATTGTAAAACAAAAAACTTTTTCCAAAACGCCTTATATTACGAAACGGAGGGAGTATGATTTTATTTTTTGTATACAAGAAAATAAAATAAAACCCATCTTAATAAATATCTCTACAACAAAATAAAATGTGAGGAAAGAAGAAAAATTACAATCTTTATGTCTTGTTCTAATTAATGTTTTTGAGATGTCAGACGAGAAAATAATAAAAAGGAGAAAAATCCTAGTTCAGAACCAAACATGGATCACTTTCAAAGAATCTGTTGTTTCAATTTCTGAAGAAATATGTGTTCGTACGCTTGAACTGCAGAAGCAGTTTGGAGTTTAATGCAAGAACTGTAAGGAAGAGAGGCATGGGGTTGCATTTATGATCACTTTGAGTTTCTTCCGATCTCTTACTGTTTTATATTTCAGAAATTGATATTAGGAGTGTCAATAACTATCAAACGTATAAAATACCATCCAAACTCTATTTTGGATGGAGTAACCCAAAATTTGTATTGCTCTGACTAAAATTTTTAATTAATTGATTTGATTTTAAAATTAGTTGGATATTATAAAGTAAACCGAAATTTTTGGAGTGCGCTTCAAATACCCTTGTACAAAATAAAGATGACTTGTATGGTAACCTTTTGGAAATTGCTAAAATAATTTCTTATAATAAATAGTGAATATTTTTTATATATCTAATGATTAATTCAGTACTCACTCTAGAAATCTATATATAACTAGTTTCTCAGTTTTTCATAGATTTTGGATTTTGTGATATATATATGAAAAAAAACACAAATTATAAAAGTATTTAATGGTATTAGGCATTCGCCACAGGATAGGCTATATCAATGTCCTCATCTGTGTGTGAGATTGATATGGTTTGCGGCTAATTCCAATGAAGCTCCTTTGGAGTTTCACAGTGGTTTATTAGAAAGTGTGAATGCATGCGGTTTTCTATTTGTTTGAGAGGCTAAGAAACGCTCATGATACAACTAATCAAATGACTGTTGAAGACATTTAGGATTTCCAAAATTGTCTTCTAGTATTTGTTATTGAAGTATTGGTCAATCCATCAGTGATTTAACGTTATAGCAATATAGACTACTCGTCGACTAGCACATTTATACTTTAAATATTTTGACGTACTTTAAATATTAACCTTGCCTCTCTTTTCTAATAATTTTAGTTCCTTTTGAATTCCCATGCTGATGTACACATTTTTCCACTAGATGCCACTAAGGGTCGGAACTAACCCCTAAAACAATTTTTACTCTATCATAGTTAAACCATGACAAGCAAAACGGATTCAAATCAAAAATGTCAAAGTGCTCCTCATAACCGATCAAAGACCTCCTATAGAATTAGTACTTTGTTTCAAAATATAAGATGTTTAAAGTAAATGCACACATATTTAGATCATTTATTTTTCTTTTTTAAAATATCATTTATATTTAATTATAACAGTTTTAACCAATAAAAAAAATGACTGCAGAATATTAATGGTCACAAATTGTCAAATGCATTTAAATCTACATAAAAACTTGTAAAACATCTTATAATATGAAACAAAATTAAATCACTAAAATATCTTATATAATGAAACAGATGGAGTAATAAATTTACTTTTTAAAATGCAATATTTTTGGGTTCAAAACTATTTAATGCAACTAAATCATACTGTTTGACTGAAGTAGTTAATAATAAAACGTAATGAAAACAGTGTCCTATTTTCTTTTATAACATTTATGTTTATGGGATTTACCTTCTTCTCTAATTCATTTGCTTCCTAAAGCAAGAGAAGTAGTCATAGTTTATAAAATTGAAAGTTTTTTTGTCTTTACTAAAAATATACGGGTGAAATAAAGAAATACATATATACATAGATATATATATATATATATACAGAGAGAGAGCAAGAGAAGTGGTGTATAGAAATATCAAATATGGGTGAGACTTTAAATTAAATGGTTATGTAAAAGAGATGAATATATGTAAACAGGTTGGGTAGGTGAAGAGAGGCTATAAGAGGGAGAGAAAGAGGTCGTAACCCTTTTGCCCTATTCACATTTCTATTATCTTCCCATTTAGCCATTCTGTTCCCTGTCTCTTCCTCCTCTCTTTTTGACACATCACATCATCATCACATCATCATTCAACATCAATCATCATCATCATATGCATACACATACATCTGTGTTCTTCGGATCGAGTTAATTAGTTATGGCTTCTTCGAATAGACACTGGCCAAGCATGTTCAAGTCCAAACCTCATCCCCATCAATGGCAACATGACATCAACTCTCCTCTCTTGCCTTCTGCTTCTCACCGATCTTCTCCCTTCTCTTCAGGTCCTTATACTTTTAACATATTTGCCAATTTAAAACTAAATTTTGTTTTAGAGAATTCTAATCTGATGAGATTGTGAATTTTTTTAGGATGTGAAGTGGAGAGGAGTCCAGAGCCAAAACCAAGATGGAATCCAAAACCAGAGCAGATTCGGATACTTGAAGCAATCTTTAACTCAGGGATGGTGAATCCTCCGAGAGAGGAGATCAGGAGGATTAGGGCTCAGCTTCAAGAATACGGCCAAGTCGGTGACGCTAACGTCTTCTACTGGTTCCAAAACCGTAAGTCCCGTAGCAAACACAAACTCCGCCTCCTCCACAACCACTCCAAACACTCTCTCCCTCAACCGCAACCACAGCCGCAACCTTCGGCTTCCTCTTCGTCTTCCTCCTCCTCTTCCTCTTCCAAATCCACCAAACCCCGAAAAAACAAGAACAAGAACAACACTAATCTCTCTTTGGGTGGTAGTCAAATGATGGGGATGTTTCCACCGGAACCGGCGTTTCTCTTTCCGGTTTCCACAGTTGGAGGGTTTGAAGGTATCACCGTCTCATCCCAATTAGGGTTTCTCTCCGGTGATATGATCGAGCAACAAAAACCGGCTCCAACGTGTACCGGACTCCTGCTGAGTGAGATCATGAACGGTAGTGTGAGTTATGGAACTCATCATCAACAACACTTGAGTGAGAAAGAAGTTGAAGAAATGAGGATGAAGATGTTGCAACAGCCACAGCCTCAGATTTGTTACGCTACCACAAATCATCAAATAGCTTCTTACAACAACGACAATAACACCATGCTTCATATTCCTCCCTCTACTTCTACTACTACCACTATTACTACTTCGCATTCTCTCGCTACTGTCCCATCAACTTCGGACCAGCTTCAAGTTCAAGGTATGTTGATATATAAAGTTATCACCCTTTTTAAGTTATTACTTATATATGTTTAAATTTCACTCAACACTATAGATACATTAATTGTGTGTCAACAATGGAAGGGACACATTGATCAAGACAAATCTTTTTAAAAACCTTCATGTTTAGTAGTCTGTAAATGATTCTTTATTCCTATACCCTCTCTCTCTCTTTTAAAAAAAAACAGATTGTTTGAGGTTTAGATGTTTGTTTTATATAGATTGCTAACATATATAGTCATTATATATACTAACATGAAATAATGGGATAACAATGGCTGAATCGACAGCAGCGGGTGCGAGAATAAGGGTTTTTATCAATGAAATGGAGCTTGAAGTGAGCTCGGGACCGTTCAATGTGAGGGATGCATTTGGGGAAGAGGTCGTTCTCATTAATTCCGCGGGTCAGCCCATTGTAACCGATGAATATGGCGTCGCTCTTCACCCACTTCAACACGGAGCCTCATACTATCTGGTTTTGACTCCTCTCTATTTTCCTTTATGATACTGATTAAGGTTTACATTCACTTCACTATAGCTAGATACTACTCTATCGGTTAAATAAACTACTAGTAAAATGAATACTTATTTAATGGCTATATAATTATAATTATACTAGTTTATAGATATGTATTAGTAGTAGTTTATTTCTTCATTGGGATCTAAAATGGATAAATGCATGCGAGAGACATGTTGTTTGGCTTAGGTCAACAATGTTGACTCAACCTAATTTAATTACACACACACATCTTGCGGTTCTTTAGAGCATTCATTGGTTTTTTTTCCTTTTTTTGGCCTTCGTGTTTTTTGACTTTAGTAGTATAAATTCTAACACTACCATATTTCGGAGGATGTGCCTGCATGTGTGTGTATATAAATATATAATTATTTATGTTGTTAATTTTCGAAGTCTCTTTTCTGCTTTTGCAGATCTAGTCGTGTGGGAGATTCGAGTTTGAAGAAGAAATTAAGACCTGTCTCTTTCTTTCACCATCTCTCGTACGTAGGCTTAAATGTTAAGATTTTATAAAGTATTGGTTTCAGTTACTTGTTGTGACCGTGTTGATGTATGGGTTTCAGACAACATTCACAAAACTCTCTCGTTAGATTGTTGACCAATACATGTTGTGTGTTTCATTCTTATTTCAAAAATCTATCATGTTTTTGTTTCTTTATCTGAATATTAATCATAGATATGTGGAATTGTTAAAAAATGCGCTAATATGGGGATGAGTAATATAGAAGCATCACATCACCCAATGTGAAAGTAAATTAGGTCATGCGTTATATATGTTTAGTGTTTAGACTGTGATGTAAGGTTTACTTACGGGAAGTAGGGAACTTTGACTGCAGTTCACGTGAGGTGATATTTCACTTTAATCCCGGGGATTAAAACGTTACATTAATATAATTATTATACTATACATCTATACCTAATCCCTCCCGAATAATAATTATTTTTATTATTAGTTATAAACTATAAGTCGTTCACCCATTTTCACAAAAAAAAAAAACAATTAATAAATATGTATTCTATTAATATCTAACCCCTTATATTTAAAATGTAGGAAAAGTTTTGAGTTTAAAGATGATTTAGTTTTTTTTTTAATGCGTCGAATGATGTTAGTGCAAAAAAAATTGTTTCAATTATTTAGATAAAATTAGTACATACTGCTTTGAACTACACAATGCATGAAATCAGTTTTGAAAAGGAAAAAAAAAATCATTTTTATTGAAATTATACTATTTAACAATAATTGATATTCATAGCACCGCTATCAATTTTTGTATAATCTGAATATTTTCCATGATAAGAAAACAGGTTTTTTTTTTATAAAAAAATAAGTAACGTATTAATGTTAGGAAACAGAGTTTTGACAGTCAGTTGATAATATTTGCTTTGAAGTTTTAACTCTCAATTTATGATATTAAAAGTTAGGAAACAGAGTTTTTGAGTTTTGATAGTCAGTTGATATATTTAATTTACTGCAATGTTTTTTTTTTCTTTTCTTGCTGCAGTGTTATGGAGTATTCAAGGGAAATAAAGAGAATAAAACATTAGTAAATAATTGTAGTTGAATGCAAAGAAGGTCTAGCTAGGTAGAGGGGCTTCGTTAGATCAAATCAGATGTCAAAAGAGCATAATAAAAATGTAATATCAAATCACACAAATGTTTCTCAATAAAAACATGGTCCTACAGTCCTACTTTCTACTGTTTAACTGTTTCCTTCATCTTGTCGCTTTGACAATATATTTACCCATGCTTATATTATCTTCTTTTATCTACAAAACAACATTTAATTTGCACCCATTTTCTTACTGTATATATTCATAATTAAAACCAGAAACTTAAACAATGTTCACACATAATTAATTTATCACCGCATATTATTGATAATAAGTCATCATGCTATGCCATATCACATATAGTTTACCACAATGCAACATATTACGCCTTAAGAATTAGTTAAGTTTGGACATTTGTTTGTCCCGTATCGACAAATTGTAGTCAGTGTCTACGCTGCCGTGTGCACTTAATAGTGGGGGGTAAAAATCTATCTATAGTAACATAATAATATCATAACGGAACCAAATCTATATTGTTGTGTTTAAAAAGGAACTATTGGCCTTTTTCCAAATTAAAGTAGAAAATTACGATCGCAATTTAGAAGTTATCACGAAAATAAATGAGATTAAAGAGTGTAAATAGAAATTTATGAAGTGACACAAAAGAAAAAATAGAAAGCTAAGAAAGAGACAAACAAAAAAAAAGGTTCAGAAGAGTGTGTTGACCAGAGGAACTGTGGATTCACCAACAAGTGGGACAAACTTTCTCTTACGTCCAAAACTGACACAACAGTATCTTAACTCTTTCTCCTCACCATGATGAATCATATTCATATGACACTCACTCCATGTTCACTCTCTCCTCTCTCTCATTTTTGCCTCTTTTTTCTAAAGCCTACGTTGTTAAATTGATAAATCTACGATGATTTAGATCTCTTGTAATGCAAGCGAGATGTTGTGAATAATCAAGGATAACATTTATGAATCTACAACTAGATCTCATGTTGCAGTATCTTGTAGCCTCGCGTATAGTCGGAGACTCGTAGGTGAGACTCTTAGAGCATGATTATCCAAATGCTCTTAATAATATTTTTTAAGAATATTTAAGTAATATTTTTTTTGTTCCATCTCTTAGCATTTTTTTTTGTTCCTTAGCTAAAAAACACTTCTTAGCTTAAAGGCACTTTTAGAAATAAATATAATCAATTAAATGCTAACATAATCTTAAGATTTTCTTAAGAGACTATCTATAATCATACTCTTATGATTTAAGGATTTTCTTTTTATTTTATCATAAACTACACTCTAATAAATGTGAGGTCCTTTTCATTCAAAGTAATTATTTACTATTATGTATGAATTGGGACAAGGCCAATTCTAATGTATATCTTGCTTGAGTATTTAAAAAAAAAATCTCATTTTCAATTTGTTTACCGTATTAAAATATTAAGTTATTAATTTCAAATATCAAAAATAATAATCACCTTTGCGTTTGTATCACCAAATTCGTTTATCTCAATTAGATCATTTCAATTGAAAATAAACAATATACTTAAGGAACAAATTAATTGAATTTATCGAAAATTATAGAGAAAATCAGAAAACTATTTAAAGTTGATTAATTGTTATTTTTTTGTTCTCTTTTCAAAGAAACCATCCATAGCCATAAACATATTATACCCATTTTTCTTTTGCTTTTTCAGTAATTTCCTTTACTTTTTAGATATTTTAGAACATTTAAATTTGTACAAAAATAACTTAAATATTTTTTAGTAGCGACGGTTTCACCTCGTTAGCCTCAAAATCATTCTTGAATTTTGATATGATATTACAATATTCACTGGTAAAAACCACTATACTACAAAATCTAGTAAAGTGTACTTACTTAAACAAAGACTGCAATTATTGAGGTTTAGAGATCTATCAAATATACAACTCTATCCTTTTCAAAGTATAAGATACTTAAAAGAAAGACATATATATTTAGTAATTTGTATTTTTTTTGAAAAAATATAAATTATATTTATTTAAAAATATTCAACCAATCACTAATAAGACTGCAGAATATTAATGGTCACAAGTTATTAAATACATTAAAATTTACATAGAAAATTACAAAATATCTTATAATATGAAACAAATAAAATATCTATAACATCTTATATTTTCATACGGATATTGGAGTACTATTTTTAAGATTTTCCAAATTAAAACCCTTATGTATCTTAATAGCAAAGCGATATTGACATAGTTTACAGAATTTGTGGTTGATATCTAGAAAATTTTAGGGGTGTTTTTTTATTATAGGAATCAAATAATCAGGACACGACATGTTGAAGTATTCATAATTAAGAGGCTCTTTATCTTGAATGTTCCCACGCTAAAACTCCTCAAAAGCGCTCTCGTTGAACATTTCTGGTGCGATGTTGTCTGGTCTCGGACTAGCGGCATTAACCAAGTTGACAAATGACAATGTACCAAGACACGGAGCATGATGGAGCAAAAAAGATTGACGGTGGAAAAAATATTGTTGTGGCCATGGTAAATCTTAACCATTTGATTGTAATCAAAAGAATTGGATATCTGTGGCCACTAACGACTAACTTGAGATATCAGAATCCCATGATGTATGAGCAAATGTGACCATACATCATTATTTATAGTATATAGACAACTTTGAATACATTAAGTGAACCAAAACCTTTTATGTTGCGGACAAGTTTAGGTTGTGGATTTTTTTGCTATATTCTCGCTCGGTTTAATTTCGTTAGCAAATATATATTGCATAGTTAAAGGACACATTTTAAAGAAAACTAAACTATAGAAAACCTAAACAAAGATCATCACACAAAATGATTATAGTATACTTCGGGAGATCAATCTTGAGATATATATTTAGATTTTCCCAAAATGAATATGACCAGTAAAATAGAGGATAATCCTTGATTATCTGAATCCTCTCTATCTCTTCTTCTCAAATTCAACATTTGTCTCTTCTCTACTTTACAAAACGTAAAAAGAAAAAATAGAAACCCACCAAAAAAATATAACAAAACCCATCTTCAGATATTGGATTGTTTTCCTTGTCTTCCAAACTTCTTGGAACGTCATAAAGACAAAAAGGGTACTGATCAGATATGGGAACATATAAAGCTGAAGACGATTACGATTACCTCTTCAAGGTTGTCTTAACGGGAGATTCCGGTGTCGGGAAATCAAATCTGCTATCCCGATTCACCAGAAACGATTTTAGCCACGACTCACGCTCGACCATCGGTGTTGAGTTTGCCACACGTAGCATCCAAGTGGACGACAAGATTGTCAAAGCTCAGATATGGGACACTGCCGGCCAAGAAAGGTAATCTATTATAGGTGGACATAAACCAAACTGAATCAAATAAAAATCCAAATGCTTAAATGCATGTAAATCAAACCTGAATGATTTCATAGACAGATTTTTTTTTTTTTTTTTTTTTAATACCAGGAGATTCTGGGCCAAAACCCATAATCCTCTAAGCCCGAAACCACAGCATGTAATATTAGTTTCATCCCAACTCCAAGTGTCACTCGAAACTAATATTAGTTTTAGACAGATTGGTTATTATCTAAAACATACACCCATTTTCGTGTAACCGAAATTTATTTAAATTTATAGCATTTTCGTTAAAAAATTAGAATTAGTTTGTTTTGAATTTTTGTTATAACTGCCTTCTGAAAACCAAGCTAAACCAAGCAAACTCAAAATTACATCAAATCGAAGTAGTTTTTAATATTTGTTTTTTTTTTAATATGGGTAGACTATTTTTGGTTTTTTATTTTCATAAAACCTATTAAATCAGAACTAGAAAAAGCCAAACCTAAACCAGATTATCCACCTTTAATAACAATTTCTCGCCACTCTTTTGCTCGAGTATGTGTTCCATTTACCTTAGTGAGTATTTGCAATTAGGTATCGAGCCATCACGAGCGCTTATTACCGAGGAGCCGTTGGTGCGTTACTAGTCTACGACGTGACACGGCACGTGACATTCGAGAACGTTGAGAGATGGCTAAAGGAGCTAAGAGACCACACGGACGCAAACACTGTGATAATGCTCGTAGGTAACAAAGCTGATTTGAATCACCTTCGAGCCATCTCTACGGAAGAAGTGAAAGATTTTGCAGAGAGAGAGAACACTTTCTTCATGGAGACTTCAGCACTCGAAGCTATAAATGTAGAAAACGCTTTCACAGAGGTTCTTACTCAGATTTACAGAGTCGTTAGCAAGAAGGCTCTTGATGCTGGAGATGATCCTACCACTGCTTTGCCTAAAGGACAGATGATTAATGTAGGAAGCAGAGATGATGTTTCAGCCGTCAAGAAATCGGGTTGCTGCGCGACATAGCAGAAATGAGCTTTTCCTATTTTTTTTTTTCTTTCTCTCTTTTGGTGTCATGGAAATTTTACAAGATTGAATCACATGTAAAAAATAACTGAAAACGGTGCAATCATGTAACTTGAATACAGAACTGTTTTAGCATAGAACCTGATTGAGAGAAGATCCATGGCCCAAAACTCACAGGCCCATATAACTCCACTATCTTTTTTTTTGTTTACTTATTTAATTGATTCCGAAACAAAAAAATAGTCTCAAGAAATTAAAAAAAAAAGGATAATGAAGATATTTTCTTCCTCGGCCGTATGCTTAAAAGGCCCACGAGAGCTTCTGAATACAGACAACGACAGGTCTAATCCATTTTGGTAAAGTATGACTTAGATAGACCCCATTATCTTCACATCGATTTGTCACGTGTCTATAGTATACTACACCAACGCCGACGTGAATCACGTCCGTAGGTCCCTAGAAAGCAGACCGACATGAAGGAGATATTCAATCAATGTTTCAAAAGGAACTAAACCGTCCGGTACGCCGGTTCAACTGTGATATAGAGAAGCATGTCTGAAAATCAATGGGCAAGAACGAAGGAAGTATATCGCCGGCCCAAGTATACTTAAAGGCCCAGGCAACGAAAATGTTTCGGATCTATATTTTTTTCCCCTTTTTTCTTTCTGATCGTTATAACTTTCCACGTAAACTATGCTACTAATTTTTCTGTCACAAGTCGTCGAAACCAAATTAACCCTATAGGAAAATGAGTATTCTTACCATTTAAAACACTCGTAATAGTCAATCATGATGAAAACTTAAAAGTACATATTAGGTTGTACCGATACATAACCGGGTTGTTATAACCGGTTTAGCTTATTCTTATACTTTTATATATACACACATTGCACAGTCTTTGTCAATTAATGAGAAATACAGTTTATTTTAGCTCAATCTTAATAGTACACTAGAAAAAAAAAATCGAATAGTTCATATAGCACACGACACGAACACTCAAATCCAGTGTAACTTATATATAAAGAGAGGCCGACATGATATTGTTTACGTAGTAGGATACGAGGTAGTCGCTAAGAGCCTAAGATTCGCTTAATGATAGAATTTAGAACTTAAGAGTATTATAAGATTTTGGGTTAACGATCTATTTCCCCCTCATAACTTTCACATAGCACCATAACTACACAGAATGGTTTTCTCGTTCTATTTCCACATAAACCAAAAGTTTGAAACCTGTTTCCCCATGTTTTGAAAGATTGATATCTCGTTCCACATTGAGGTTTGGTTAACTGGTATAGGGGATTAAACCATATGTGAAACCGAAAAACCGGTAAAATAAACCGAATTAAAACCCGCAAACCGTAAACCACAACCCATATGTCGCATCTAAAACCCGTCTTTGAGACCCGAAACTCAGAAATCCAAATTGAGAAAACGAAGAACCCTAGCTTTAATTTGCAAATCTTCAGATCAATCTCCAACTTCTAAAATGAGCAATTCATCCAGCGTGAGGAGTGCAACATCAAATTCCCGAGAAAGAAGAGGCACCAAAATCGACATCAGAGACAAACAAGGAAGAAGCAATGAGCAGCATTCATGAAGATTCTAAAATTGATTTGCAGAAGAAGAGAGCAGCCTCCCTACTTTCCCATATGAACGCCTCAAAACCGACTCAGAGGATCCTGTTTCAGATATCGACCTCACTAGAAGAGAGGTCAGATTCTTCAAAACTCTCAACACATATAACATTCGTTTGTTTGAGTTTGTGTTTCATGAGATCAGCTTGGTTTTTTGCAGGCATACATGACTTCATCAGAGTTCAAATAGAAGTTTGAGATGACAAAGAAGATGAAACTGTAGCCAATGTCATAGATTATGCTCTCAAATGTTAAGCTCGTGACTCGGATCAAGGAACTTTGTGTTGTCTAAGAAATTAGAGACTCAAAACATTGAAGACTCTGTAATGACAACAACAATCCGGAAGACCTCTAGGGATGGTAGGCTTGGCTCAACAAGTCTATTGGCCTTATGGTTCCTTCTCGTTAAGATGATGCTTTTTTTTTTCGATTTCTGGAGCTCTGTTTTGGTTTTGTTGTCATTGGAATAAGCATCACAACTTCTTTGTATCGGTTTTTTGTTTTAGATTGGCCACATAATAATATGGATTGAAATTTGGTAGCATATATGGACCCGTTTCTGCTCTGTTCTTAATTGTCTTCATGTTTCCCACAACTTCAGGTTTGAAACAACAATTAAAAAATCAAAGACAGGAACGTATTTGTTCCCAATCTCAGTAAACAAAAAATTAAACTTGATGAAATATCAAAGGAGAGTGTGTTTCATAGTCATCATCAAAGCAAAATAGTCTTGTACATAAGCCGAGTTAAACATCCGAATGCAGATACATTACTTGAAAGCAATGTAAAGCAGAAACTATGGTCATACCAAAACAAAACAGAGACACAGCCGAGTAATAATTCTAATCTTCTGCAGGAAAAAAAAAAAAAACCAGACCCATCTTCTTCTAATCTGCTTATCTCATTCATCCTTGAGTGATAATTCCTTGAGACGGTTCAGGTTGAGTGCATGTGACTTGAGCAGTCTCTCCATCAAAGTTCTGAGGCACATTATAAAGTAAAAAACAGAGACACATTAATAACCATTAACAAACTTACAACAGAGATACATTGACACATACTAACCAGTTTTGAAGAAGTCTTCTTCTTATGGAATCTGGAATTGTGACCAGATGCACCACATTGACCACAATGCATTACTCTTTTCAATTGTTTAGGTGCCTTTTTCAAAGGAGACTCATTTTTCCCCTTTTTCCTCTTTTTGTCCTTCTTACTCTCCTTACCCTTCTTCCTCCCAGGCTGTTGTGGTTCAGGTGGTATATGGACATTAGGATGTGAGGTTGATGGCCAAAACGCAGGTCCTCTCTGTGGAACTAGTCCTTCCGTGTAGTTCCTTTTCCACATTGGTGTCCGAAACCAATGACACACATAGTCTTCAACCTCAAGCTTCTTGTGCAAAATCACTCCATAAGCATGCTCACAAGGAATGCCACATATCTCCCATTTCCGACAAGTGCAAGTCCTCTCTGTCAAGTTGATCCTATGAGAACCGCCACTTACTGTAGCTTCATACATACCATTAGTGCTTCTTCTTATCTTACACTCTGCGGCTTTCTTGAGCTCTTTTGCAAGGAATTTAGTCACATATGGCGTGCATCTCCCTTTGTGATCATGAGAGATAGCAGATCTCTTGGCAATCCGGACCATTGCAAGTCTCCTAATGGTCTCAAGCATGGGCACAAATGGTTTATCCCTAGCTTTCACTATTGAGTTGTTGAATGACTCTGTTGAGTTATTCTCAACATCTTCACAGTAATTCCCTAGCTTATAGAATGCCCTGCACCAAGACCTTGGTTTTGACTTCACAACATCACGCCAAACAGACACATCATAGTTGTACAAATGGGTCATGTTTGCTTCAAACTCAGTCTCATTGTAGCTCCATGCCACATTCCAAACATAACGCTTCATCTCTTTATTCTTCCCATGATTTTTTTTCAAGTTTCCATATATGTGTCTGACACACATTCTGTGTTCACTCTTTGGTATCTCTAACTCAACAGCTCGAATCAATCCCTGAAATAAAAAAGCACACATTAGTCTGACAAACATTCTATTACACAAGAGAAACATGACTAAATGGTTATTACCTTTTGACGATCAGAGACAATAATATAGCCCTCACCATCCATTAATCCCAAATCAGCCTTGAGCTTCCTCACAAACCACACCCAATTATCTATGTTTTCTACTTGTACACACCCCCAAGCTATAGGATAAACTGCATTATCTGAATCTCTACCTAGAGCAACTAGCAACTGGCCTTTAACTTTGCCTTTCATAAACGTTCCATCCATTCCTATCAATGGTCTACAAGTATTTTTCCATGTTCTTTTAAGAACATCAAAGCATACATAGAACCTGTTGAATACTTCTTGTCCTTCTTCATTTATCAAAGTGTCAACTTCAACCGTGGAGTTCATGTTTGATTCTCTGATCTCAGCCGCATAATCTTGGAGCCGCGCAAACTGCTCATCATATTCTTTCTCAATCCATCTCAATGCCTTATTTCTTGCAGCCTGGCATTGCGGCCTGGATACAGTGATCTTCCATTTCTGTTTAATGGTTTCTTCAATCTTCATAGGCATGAAATACTCAGGCTCTTCTCTGATATCATCTAGGAACAGCCTAGAAATCACTGGAACCTTCACCATCTCACAATCTCCATTTGGATTACATGTATGCATACCCTTGAACACGTTAACCCTCCACTTACTACATTTTTTCGTTACTGAACAATATATGCGCCAAACACATCCATCACCAACACATTTATACGCAAGCTTCGTTTTATCATACCTGTACTGCTGGATGTTGCATCCTGTCTTTAGAGCATGGTCGAGTACAGCGTCCTTAAAAGCAATTCCGTTGAAGAAAGTCTGGTGATAGTATAAATTCCCATCCCCGCGTTTGATGTTGTTACGCCTTCTCTCCCGAACATGTTCTTCGTCTTCATCAGTCTCACTCTCTGGATACTCATCGTGAAGAATCGAAGGTTCATCTATGAACTCCATTACTGCTTGCTCGATTTCAAACGCATCTCGCTCCCTTGGGTCTTCATCGTCGGGTTCATCATCAATTATCGGATTACCTGATCCTCCTTCTTCTTGCTGAATAGATCCGCCTTCCTCGTGATGAATGACTAACGCATTCGCATCCAACACACTCGAATTCGTCATCCTGAACTTCGTCTTCAATTCGATTATAAGATTTTTGCTTTCTCCGTACGTTTCTTCTAGGGTACTTCGATATGGGGATTTTATTTGGTTTATATGTATAATCGGGTTGTTTAATGGGTTAATCCGGTTAATTTTTTTTGATACGTGGTTAGTGTGTGTTTGGGCAACAGTAAACCAATTATAAAGCATGATTATGTGTTTCTAGGTTTTAAAATTTGAAATTATGGGGAACGAGATATCGATCTTTCAAAACATGGGGAAACAGGTTTCAAACTTTTGGTTTATGTGGAAATAGAACGAGAAAAACATTCTGTGTAGTTATGGTGCTATGTGAAAGTTATGAGGGGGAAATAGATAGTTCACCCTAAGATTTTTGGTAACGAAAAACGGTTACTTTTATATTTGTGGTTTATAAAGTGTTTCAATCAATCCATGTAAAAATATTGGTCTTTCTCATTTTCTCCATGAACTAAATTCTCAAAATTGTCGAAGATGTGATTTCATTTTTTTGCATTACTATACATGCATTTGACCTTTACATTATTTTTTTGATACTAAAAAGTTTAATTCACATCCCAAAATGGATTTCTAGGCCGAGGCCTTACAAAATTTCAGCAGCTACAAAAAGGAAAAAGCAAATCGGAGACTCATCGACGGAATTGATCTTAACCTGGCGGTGGCTGGAAGCAGATATTACGACCAACCAATACCGACGAATACAAGGTCGAGTGCAACGGCATTAACAAGCTCCTTGCCGGAGTATTCGGTTCCGTCGCCGAATCGTTGCCGCCAACAAACCAGAACCCGCACCAAACTTCCCGGAATAAGTCCAATCTCCGACAGACCAGTACCCCATCTTTGATTCCCCTACCTAGCAAACCAAAAACAACAAGGACGACCACCAACGAAACCTTCTCCGAGACAAACAATCCTCAAATCCGGTCCGGTGGAAACTAAATGCGGCAGCTGAGAGGGACAGTGACTCAATCCTTCCTTCAACAGCCCTAAATCCGCGAGCAGCCATCACAGATTCATTGAATCCGCCGTAAACCACCAAGACAAGCGACGCAACCCTCCATCCCGCTGACGACTTCCACCGCAAGTTGCAGCTAATCCACGAACAGGTGAGCCAAAAGAGAGGCTTCAATCGATTCTTTTGACGTCCTCAAACAGAGAAAACCGATGGCGAAACCCCTCAAGATCGTCGTGAAACCGCCACAACCGCAACGCCAACGGGAGTTCCACACCTCACCGCCGCCGGAGAGAAAAGAAGCTCACCACTGCCTCCCCTTTGTAAGCCCCAACCCAGCGATT